GATAGGCTGCACAACAACAACATTCTGTTAGCCAAATGTTAAAAAAATATAGAAACTAAAAGTAGAAAAAGAAAAGCTAAAAGGAACAAAGTGTTAGGTAAAAGCAGCAAAGACCGAGCTAAATTTATTTATTAACCTTTATTTAACCAGGCAAATTCCATAAAGATAACTTTTTCATGAGAGGCCACCTAACATACATGTTTTTAGTCTGTGGGAGGAAACCAGAGTGCCCAGAGAAAATCCACACAAACACAAGGAGAACATGCAAACTCCGCACAGAAAGACCCCAGATACAAACTGGGGGTTGAACCCAGGACCTTCTTGCTGTGAGGCAAGAGTGCTAACCACTGACCCACCGTGCTGTTCTAAAAATTGTCAAAGTCTAGTTAAAGTAGATGACGGTTCCAAACTGGCAGCTAAAAGTTACGATGGCCCTGAGGCCATTAAAAATGATGTGATGGATAAAGTGAAAAATGCCAAAAAGCATGGCTGTATTGTATATTTTTTTGAATCCCTCATGAAAATGAATAATGAAATAGCAAGTCGTATTTTTTTTTATTTTGGATTCTCAATTAAAAAAAACTACTGAACAAATAGTACACGGACCCCACACCCTTCATGGGAATTTGTATTTGTATCTTGTTAATGCACATTGTTCTGTTGTTCTATGTTGTTAATAAATTTAAAAAAACACCACTTACGCTTTGGCTTAATGTAATTCCATTTGTTTCAAATGTAATTCTGTTTTTTCAAATGTTATGTTTTCGTTGTTTTTTTTTCCAACTTTAATTTCATTTTTTGAAACGTAATTCTGTTATTTCAAATGTTGTTCATTTACACCTCAGGGCCATCGTAAAAAGTAGTGAAAAAGACAAAAATAGCGCAAGTATGTTACAGAACATGTTTAAAAGGATGATATATTTCAAGGAATTAAGGAGATCTCAATGTATTAGTATGGGGATAATATTTGTAGTAAAAAAAAGGTTCTTATTTTCAAGGTATAGCGTTAGAAAAACAAAGGTCATATATCTGTTACATGAGCTGAACATTTGATCTAAGAAAGGCTAAAATAAAACAAAATGTGCAGAATAAGTTATATTGCAAACAACAACAGGAAAAAAGTAGTGTGAAGTATTCACATAAGCAGTGTTTGCACTGAGGGAGAACAATGGCTGCTGTGCAGGTGAAACAGGCTAATTAACTAATTAGGAGCAGGTGTGAGGAAAGAGCAGCTCAAACTGAAAGAAACTGTGGAGCGAGGTCATCTTCACTAAAACAGGCATACAAAACCATGAAAAGCAGAGAAAGTTCAAACAAAACTTCAGGACAAAACAAAAACTATAAGAGGAAAATTAATATACTTGTCTAAGTGTGTTTTGTTTGAACATGTTACTATATAAGCAAAAATTGAAGTGAAATATTTGAAAACATGTCTAGATTTTCACTAAGATTGAGCGAAACTGTTCAGTTGTTACTTGAAAAATATTAAAGTGAATTTAGTTATTATAAAACTGATAGTGAATTCAATTTTTTTTTACAAGAAGCGCTGTGATATTTTCGAGATTGGAGTTCTTTGAAGACGGCAGCAAAGCATTTTGTTACTGACCGTGCTCAAACTAGACATTAAGTCATCAGTCTGGTCAGATGTGAACATTATTTCTTCAAACTGAAGCTGTTCAAAATTCTATTTACGCACAAAAAATAGATATTAATGAGTTATAATATAACCTTTCCACAGAACCCCACATCAACTTCCATGCTACAACTAGTTATCCTTCTAGCACCTGGATTTCACTTGACTTGTTGACTGCATCACTGGTAACCATGTATTATTGGCTGTAGATTGCTTTTCATTCATGTTTGCATACTAACTTTAAAAGCCAGGAAATACCACATAAGCCATGGGATTAACCTCCCAGAGGAACATTGTCAGAAGAGTTAAGTTATTGCATAAAAACACAAAAGAAAAAGAACGTTTCGTGGAGCACGCTGGTTTTTAAGCACCAACCTTAAACACGTGGACAAGTCTGGGAGTCAAAAGCAGAATTCACAGCTATAAATGCTGATGAGCATTATTTAATTAATTAATTCATTTAGCATTTGGCCTTTGTAAAGTTTAATAAATTATCTGCATGTGTCAAGAGAGCAGAAGTGTCTTTCTTTGAACTATTGACAGAATACATGTTGTGGGTGTGTTGCAGGTGTAGCGTCTCCTGTAATCCATCATGCTGAGGATACAGTGACTGACAGTGGACACATTAGATATGAGCTGCTTTAAACTCAACGCTCACAACGACAAAGAAGGTTCAGCACAAAAGACTGAAGCTTGACCTTTAAGCTATTTCTTTCATGTCGAACGGAAACTGTCTAGTTGTGAGCGTTTGGATTGATTCCGGCTGTCGTTTCATTCACACAGCTTCTAGAGAACATGCTGGGAGACAATGGTGTAGTGGGCTGTTGTGTGCATTATACAACTTAATAACCACAAAATGATGCATTAATGTGAGTTGATGTATTGCTTTAATACAAGAAAATTACAATTCAAGAGAAAAAACTGCCAGTATAAAAAAAAAAAGATACATACACACCTTTAGCTAAAATGTATGTGTTTATGTAAGAAATGCTGTCATTAATAACGACAGATACTAAAATACGGATTTAATGTTAAAATCATTCTGGTTGGAGCAGGATTACACTGAAAGCCAAGAAGCTGCACATAAAGGAGCAAAGGTGTGTGTGTGTGTGTGTGCATTTGGTCTTACACTGCCATCTACCTGTAGAGTTGTCATTTTATGCTTCTCAAAATTTTTGCCAGTTTTTCTTAAAAATTGTTCTAGCTTTGTTCTGGAAGTGCTGATTTCTTGCATTTGGGTCCTTTCACTGCACATTGTCACAGCTAAAATGAGTTTATTTGTCTTTGATTGTTTTGTTTTGTTGTTAAGTTTAAGACGTTTTATATGTTGTTTTTTACTGTATAATTATGAAATATATGGCAATATATTTTAAAGCAGGCGCAGGCAGGAGTGTGCATTTAACATGGAGGTATATGGTACAGAGGACGATTTCAGTGGAGAAACTTCATCTGATTTCGAAGATACCGTTGAGGACTCATCTGCAAGCAATGAAGAAGAAACTACAACAGCTCTTCCTGAAAATTTTTCTCGTGGAGGGCCTCTTCTATACATGTTTGAGCCACCATGATGGCAAGAAGAAGCAACTCCATGGGAAGACCCATCATCGCAGAAAGGACCTTATCGGCTTGAAATATTTTGCTTACCAGGGTAACCCTGGTTCTCTGAAAACTGAGTGAGGATTCTCACCATGAGAAACACCTTCAGGCATGACCAATCATGGATGCTTCAATACCATGTTTGTCACTGACAAACCAATACATGCTTAGCATGGGGCACCCCTCCCCTTTATAAGAGCCCCTGTCCTACGTTTGGCATTCACAATCATGTGTATTTCTTCCACATGACCATTCAAGCAGGGCAGTGTGGTGAGATACCTCACTCAGTCTAGTCCACATCCAGGTGGTAGAATGTAATGGAAGTACTGTATTTTCCGGCATATAAGTTGTTCCGGAGTATAAGTTGCATCAGTCAAAAACAGCATTATGAAGAGGAAAATAACATATATGTCACATTTATTATGCATCACTGCTGACCCATCACGTTTGTTATGCATTTATTTAATGGTCAAAACAGCTTCATTTCACCTGGGCGGTGAGGCACCATCCATCCATTCATCCATCCATCGCAGCCGGAGCTGCTAGCTCTCCAGAGTTCCTCCGCCTCAACCAGCTGAGTGAAGCGAGTGTGCACAGGACTCGCTGTTGCAGTTGTTAGAAATTTAAAGCGTCAGTCAAAAAACATGTTATGAATGTGGGAATAAAAACATATAAGTCGCAGGACTGATCAATCTATGCAGAAAAACTGTGACTTATACTCCTGTTGGAATAAATCCATGATAGTTGACTGACACTCCCAGTAGAACCTACCAGTGTTTGATTGCACTGCGTTATGCTCGGCTTTCCTCCAGACTTGTAAAACCTACCAGGGTAGCAAATGCTTCTGAGGCACAGAGGTGTTCCTCCTCTCTCTCAAAATCCTCCATGTTCTCCATCCTCTCAGTGTGCACAGCTGAAGAGCTGGGTTGTACATGTTGTAGGCAACTGTGGATGTCAATCAATAAGTTCATGACTTTTTGCTGAAACACTGAAATAAACATTTTCTTGATTACGATGGCTCTCTCTCCAACAGCAAGGTTGACAATAATTTTTTCAAAGTGTCTCACTGCTACCTGATCAATAGTTACCATCCTAAGGTAATGGGAATGCCCAGCTTCCATTTTCTGATCTGGAAGTGTGATCGCAGCACCTGGAGGTGTCATTGCAGCACTTGGACCTGGACCTGGAGATGTCATCGAGGCGCCTGGACCGGATGCTGGATCCACTGCCTGACGTAGTACCATATCAATTTAACAACTGAAACAACCAGAAGAAGCTACTGTTACTGATGTGGTGCCTTTTGTTGTTTCTTTACCTGCAGCAATAGCCATCTCTAATTTCGTCACAACTGTATGTCGAGATCCTGAAAAAAAATTCATATTTCACAATCATTTCATATAAATGTTAACAACCAGCCAATACATCATCGATTTAAGTGTATAAATAAATCATGAGGAATTTGACCTAGTTAAGTATATAATTTAACCAAGTGTATTGGGATTAAGCGTGATACAGAGCATTAATAACTGTGCCACTTAAAAGTAAATTTTTTTTTTTTTTTTAATTCAGAACTTCTGTAGCTGCATAATATTCTCCACATTTAGATTACATGTCCCAAAAGTACTGTTAAATTATCCTTTTCACCATTATTTAGGTGCATTCCCACAAAAACGAGTGTGGTTTAAAACCTTAATTTGGACTGGGTCCGTCGCCTGAAGTCGTCCGGAGTGCTGAGCAGCCCGTTAACATCCGTTCCGTTAGCAGCCTCTGCTTGAGCCTCGGTGTCAACTGAAGTGAGTGACCGTCTCGTGAGGACTGATTTCGGGGTACGACGCGCTGATATGGACCGGTGAGCCCGTAACGCTGCGGAGAAACAAAATTTTGGTCATAAAACTAATCTTAAATAACGTAATTATTTATGTATCCTGACTTCGTAATTTCTTCTAACGCACTACCTTACAGCCTAAACAAGTCAGCCTATGTTTATTTGTTTATGTCCCCCTTAAACACAAATTACACATAAATCTTTACTTCTAAAATATGCTAACTTTTTAAAAAGGTTAGTGTTAAACTTGTTTAGCAGAATCTTCAGTGTTTGCAGTCCTGCAGCTGAAGTTTACTCCAACAATACACCTGAAAAATGTACAAATGTTGTTTTTGTGTGAACAGATTTGCTTCTGTGGAGCAGTATAAGGCAGCCATGGTGCTGAGTGGTGCTGGTGATGCTCTGGGCTACAGAAACCAGCTGTGGGAGTACAACGAGTCTGGACCAGCTATTCACAAGGTTAGTACTGTATTAAGGTATTTATTGCAGTGGTGGGATGCATCTCAAACAACGATGAGTCCAGCTACAGGAAGGAGGTGGAACACCTGGAGAGCTGGTGCAGGAAGAACAATCTTCACATCAGTGTGAAGAAGACGAAGGAGATGATCATGGTTTTCAGACGGAGCAAACGCATCTAACCCTCCCTGAATATGGGAGGATCTGTGGTGGAAGTGGTCTCCAGCTACAAGTACTTGGGTGTACACATGAATGACAACCTCAGCTGGAGCAACAACACCATCAGCCTGATCAAGAAAGCTCATCAGAGACTCTGTAGTTCCTCAGGCGGCTGAGACGAGCTGGTCTGGGAAGCTCAGTCCTCACCTACAGGTGTGCAGTGGAGAGCATCCTGTGCTCCAACATCAACGTGTGGCATGGAGGCTGCACAGCTGCAGAAAGAAACTATTTGCAGAGAGTGGTGAAGGCTGCACAGAAGTCTGTTGGAGTCAGCCTCCCCACCATCACAGACATTTACACCTGCAGATGCAGGAAGAGGGCCACCTGCTTCATGAAGGACCCCACTCACCCAGCACCTAGGATTTAGTGTATTTCTTAGATCCTTATTTACTGTTTCTTTGTATACTTTATATTTTGCTATTTTTGGGTGTAACTGGGACCCTGTGTATATAATTTCGTTCCACCTCATGTATCATGTGATGGAAACGACAAAGTTGACTCGAACTTGTATTATACACAAGATGTGGGGCTGCAGACAGTTTTAAATGTTACTAGATAAAGTCTACAAAACAAATCCTCTCTCCTCTTCTGAGCCTGTAGGAGCTGCAGGAGCTGGGCGGCTTGAAGAACATCAAGGTTCAACTTCCTGATTGGCCCGTGAGCGACGACACTGTTCTGCATCTGGCAACAGCTGAAGGACTGGCAACTGGTGAGAAAATCCTCTGGAAAACATCTCCAGTTTGTGTCTGTGTTTTGCTCCGGATGAGGATTTGATTGGATGAATCAGACCTCATCAGGACACAGCCTCACTCCGTCCTCTTCAGAAACACCAGCTAAAGGTTAAATCTAATTTCCAGTCTTGTCTTGATTTGCTGCTCTAATAGAGCTTCGTACAAAAGCAGGAAATTCAACTTGACCTTTGCTGTGAGAAGGCAAAGACTGGGTTTGTGCATAAGTTAATTACATTTTTTAAAGTTTGCAGTTTCAACATGATACTGTGTCCCTCACAGGGAAAACAGGGGAGGATCTCCTTCATGAGGTGGCTGCTCGTTACGTGGAGGGGATGAAAGACATGGAGGGGAGGAAACCTGGGCCTTCAAGCATTTTGGGTAAATTTGTGATGTAAAGTCGTGTCACATTTGCGGTTTGCTAAATGTAGCAGTAACGTTCTCGTTCAGGTGTATCCCAACTAAGACCAGGAGAAGAAGGAGGCTTCAGAGTGCCGTATAACCCCGAGGGGACGGGCTGTGGAGCAGCCATGAGGTCCATGTGCATCGGCCTGAGGTGAGACATTTAACTTGAGGACGCAGGTTTAATAATATCAGCTGTTCTGGATGCAGTCCAGTTTTGTCTCTTTTCCTTTTTCCTGAGGCCTTGTTTAGTTTCATGGATTTGTGCAAACTAATTAATATAAAATGACAAAACAAGTCAAATTGTTGGTTATCTTTACTTGAGATGAGATGTATAAAATAAAACATAACCATGAAAGTAAGTTTACTAAAATCCCCTGCACATTGGTTTAGTTAGTCAATAGTGTTCTACCATTTAAATTTAATTTACAATTTATACTAGACGATACTTACTGCATGTAGCCTTAATTTAGCGTTCGATTGTATTTTAACAAGCGGCTCCAAACTTTAACCCTGAGCACAGGTATCCGAGGCCTGTCCAGTTGTTGTCGCTTGTGGCCGTTGCCGTGGAGACGGGCAGGATGACTCATCCTCACCCCACTGGTTTCCTGGGAGCCGTAGCCTCGGCTCTTTTCGCTTCATACGCCGCCCAGCGCAGGCCCATCACCACCTGGGGTCTGGGCCTGATCAACGAGGCCTGTCCCATAGCGAGGAAGTTCGTTCAGGATCGGGGCTTCGCCGTGGAGGAGACGGAGAGAGACTGGAGCTACTTCTGTGACAAGTGGCAGTGGTATGAGCAGTCGAGCTTTGCGAGGCTTCTGAAAGGCTGTTTTAGCTTCGAGGTTAACAAATGGTGACTCGGCTAAATGTTTCCAGTCAGCGGCACATTCATCATTTATGTTCTGAACTGCAGCCTCTTCTAGAAACAGATTGTTAAACATCAAACTTGCATTCTGAGGTCAGGATTAGGCCTGTCAAGATAAACAATGAATCAATTAATCGCACAATTAATGAAAATTATCAACCTCATTTTCATTTATCAACTTTATCGTTTCTTCATGTCTCTCTCTTTCTAATGAAGACGCTGGATGATAAAAAGCTCAACTCCAGTGCTCTTCATTGACACACACACACCTTCTCTTTTCTCTTTAAAATCTGTTTTGACCGTCCAAAATCACATTTTTGGATCTTTAAAAGCAGCTAAGCTGAGAAGTTTCGCTAACAGGCCGACCTCGGGGAAAAAACCCTCCGTCTTGTTGAAGCTCCAAAATTCAGTTGAAACCCGTGCCTTCGTATAAAAAGTTATTTTTCCTCTGCTAAAAGAAGCTGAGAACTCGTTTACTGATTTTTTTTTTTTTTTATTAAAAACTTTGTGTGAACAATAGTATGCTAAAGAGCTAAAACCACACTGCGCGTCCACCATTTTGAGAACCGAACAAAAGGAGAGACAGCCCATGTCACATCAAGGGGCCTCCCTCCCATTCTTCTTAGAGACACTACTCACTCCCTCATTATCCATCCTTCAGTTCAGTCTTATACTGTCATCCGGTGGTAAAAAAAAAGTGCTACATGCAAAACAAATTTAACATTTTAAATTTGACAATAATTACTATCCATCCATCCATCCATCATCTTTACCCGTTTATTCCATTTTGGGTCACGGGGGTCGCTGGTGTCCATGTCCACCAATCACTGTGCGAGGGGCGGGGTACATCCTGGACGGGTCGCAAGTCCATCACAGGGACACATAGAGACAAATGAGACAAACAACCATTCACTCTCTCACTCACCCCTAGGGACAATTTAGAGTTACCAATCAGCCTAACATGCATGTTTTTGGTCTGTGGGAGGAAACCGGAGTACCCGGAGAAAACCCACGCATGCACGGAGAGAACATGCAAACTCCACCCAGAAAGGCACCTGGACCGGGGTTTGAACCAAGGACCTGCTTGCTGAGAGGCAGCAGCTCTACCAGTTGCGCCACCGTGCTGCCACAACAATTACTAATTATTTTCAAATTTCAAACAATATTATCGTTTATCGCAATCATTTCTGAGACAATTAATCGCCCAGCAAAATGTGTTATCGTGACAGGACTAGTTGGGATATTCAAGAATGTTGGGAAGTGGAAAAATTTAATTGTCATTGCTGGTCTTGTGTCAAAATGACTGCTGACAAAAACATTTAGCTACATCTCTAAAATTCAGAAAAGTTGATCCGTTTCAGTAATTTGATTCAAGAAGTGAAACGTATCAGATTCCTTATGCACAGGGTGATATTTTAAGTTTCTTTGTTGACCTTGATGATTATGGCTTACAAATAACCCAAAACTCAGTTCCTCAGAATATTAGATTACATAAGACCATTTATAAATCATTTTTAATACAGAAATGTTAAAATAAACTATTTACCACGCAGAATTTGCTCCAAGTACTTGGTTGGGGCTCTTGTTGCATAAATTACTGTCAGTGCAGCGTGGTGTAGAGGCTGTCAGCCTGTGGAGCTGCTGAGGTGTTCTGGAACAACCCAGTGGACCAACAGAAGCAGATTACCTGGCTCATGCCTTGTTATGTACTTCATGCAATATTCTAATTTCAGATAAATAGAAATTTGGGCCATCGTCGACATTAATCATCAAAATAATAAATTTTGTGTAGTTTTTCCTCACTTCACTCATGTTGTGTCCGTCTGCAGGTATCTTGATCAGAGGGGCATCTCTAATGGAGTGGGACCCATGAACTGGCCCTCTGCCTACGGTCCAGCTGAGAGAGACGAGGCCTACAAGACCTTTAGCCTGTCTGGTTGGGCGGGACGCAGTGGACACGATGCCCCAATGATCGCGCTCGATGCCCTGCTGGCAGCTGGCTCCGACTGGGAGGAACTGATGAGCCGAGCTGCCTTCCATGGAGGTCGGTGATTCCGTATTTGATTCATGAATAAGACTATCCAGTCTCATCACTCGCACCGTTTGTCTCCATCTTTCTGTTCAGGCGACAGTGACAGCACAGCTGTGATCGCCTGCTGTTGCTGGGGTCTCCTCTACGGCACCGAGGGGGTCCCTGAAAGCAACTATAGCAATTTGGAGTACCGGGACCGACTGGAGGGGTGCGCCGAGCAGCTGTACGCTCTGTCACGTTGATGAGATGGTAACGACCTGCAGCCTGAACCAGTAATGTACTGACCATAGTGAAGAGAGACTAGGATACGCTAACACAGAACGAGCTGACACTGAGCCACTGCACGTGTACTGGCACACTAACCCAAAGAACCATTTCTGGAACAAGGACAGTGTTGACTGTAGTTGAGAGCTCCCTCTAGTGGTCACTTGAAAATAAAATGCTAATTCAAACTGTCCCCTAGGAAGAAATCATCTCATTCTGCCAACATGTGACAACAGTAAATGTTTAGAGCCCCTCAAATTAATGTGCTCTCGCTTTATACGAATGGAAAATACATTTCAGTCTCAGTAATGCTGCTGTTTTGTGCAATAATGGTGACATGTATGTCCATGGGACATCGTTTCACAGCTGATACAATAAATGGAAAAAAAATCATTGTAGTTGAGTTGAGAACTTTATTTTTTTAGTCATAGTTTTTAATTTTTTTTTGTCTTGTCCATTTTTTATTAATTATATTTTCCTACAGGAGAAGATGGGCAAAGGGGTGGTCTTAACTATTAGATTGAGTTTTTAAAAAAATTCTAAAAATCCCCTCATGTCTTCACATCCCTCCTGTCTTGCTGTAGTCCTAAGATTCTTATGGCAGTCTTTGTTTAACATTTGTGTTCTGGTATTCACAAAACCTTATGGTTAAAAACACATTTCTGGAAGGGAGAAAAGAAAAGTCTGCTGCTGTTTTTCCACCTGGTTTTCTTTCTCCTACGGGTCCACCCAGCAAGGTGCCTCATGGCTAAAAGAAAAACTGGGAAGAAGCTGGAGGGAACAGCGCAGCAGGAGGGGTTGGATGCTGCTGCGGTCCTCTCGACTTCATCATTACCATTAAAAATGTCCTCCTTGTTTGGGGCTGACGGTGAGATTTGTTCTGATGGACATCATTACAGCAGAACAGTACGGTGTTGCGAGGGCTCTTCTCTCCATATGATTCTGAGAATTTTTTTGAGCTGTGTTTTTCTGGACTTCATGTGCAACAGGCCGGGTGAGAAAAGTTCAGGACGTCACAGAGGCAGAGAGGTTTTAATTTCCAGGTGGGTGGAAGGAAGCAGGGTGAGTTTGTACCTGCATCGCTGTGGGAGGGAAACAAAAACTGTCAGGCCAGTCAGATTCAACTTTAAGACTGATGACGGTGTTAACCTAGTTCCTACCTTGTGGGTGTCCTATGTAAAAGTGCTGGTGTGCTCCTTGCTGAGGTCCGTGCTGAGGGTGCTGGGGCACTCCGCCGGGACCCTGCTGAGGAGTCTGCAACATTACTAACTGGGGCTGACCATGGCTGCCTGAGTGGTGAGGACCTGGCATGGCTCCTTGGACGTGGGCCTAGAGAGGTTGGGAAAAATTTGAGGAAGTGGTAACGTCAAAACTAGAGAAACTGCTTTTTCTGCAAAACTGAAAATGTGAATGCTGTTTGCTGAATGACTGAAGAAATTTGCTAAAGAAGCTAAAATTGAGTTGGTAAAGCTACAAGAAGCAGAACACTAGCTACAAATTAAATGTAACAAAGCTCTAGCTAAAAAGTAAAGGCCGCAAAACTAGCCAAGAAAATGCTATAAAATAGTGAAAATCATCAATACATTAGCTAAAAGTAGGAAAAAACATAAAATTGAAAGAACCGCATCCCTAGGTAAAAGCTAAAAGTACCAAAATGCTAGTTAAAAGCTCAAAACAGTGAAAGGCTAGCTAAAGGCTAAAAGTAGCAAAACAATATACCATAGTTAAGAGCTAAAAAAGTCAAAGACAAAAATGTGAATGAATTAGAAGTCTCAATGTATGAAGGAGAAACAATTTGTAAATAAAGTTAAACACTTTGGTTTTTATAACTTTAAAAGTATTAAACATCAGACTAAATCAGTGGTTCCCAACCCTGGTCCTTGAGGATAACCGTCCTGCCTGTTTTACTTGTTTACATACTTTGACGCACCTGATTTTTTTATTCAACCTTTATTTATACATGTTAGTCCCATTGAGCCTTGGGGACTCATTTACAAGAGACCTGAATGAATGGGTGATTAAGAAGCTTCTGCAGAACTTTACTGAATCAGGCGTGTTGGAGCAGAAAACAACTGAAACATTCAGGGTGGTGTTCCTCAGGGACCCGTGTTGGGAATCACTGGCTTAAATGTTCTGAATGAGCCAACGTTTTTGATACTTGAATGATTAAAATACCACAAAGTATGCAAATGTAGTTACATGTTTACAAAGGTAGGGAAGAAAAGAAATAATAAAGAGAAACCAGAATGCTGATTTAGCAATCACACAAAAAATCTGTTCCACTTAAGAGTCTCTGCAGGTCTAATCAAGAATTTACCTCTATGGTAGTGAAAAATGAAACCATACCTGTGCTAGCTGCCCCAAGGGGTAGGTTGACGGGATGCCCTGGTGGCTGTGGATACTGTAGCCCTGGATGGGGTAAGAGCCTTGTGGAGACGTGTGACCTGGAGCCATGTTGGGGGGTGTGGGTGCCGACAAGGGACCTGAGTGGTACAATGACTGAGGCTGAGGGCCCGACTGGGTGTTCTGCAAACAAGATGTTGGTTTGTTCAATAAATAGATGGAGCTAAACAAGAGGGAGGGGCTGAACTCATGCTTCCATCAAGAAACAAGACCAAAGCTCGTTCAACAAGTACTGTACTACAAAATGTGCTTTAAGCCTGTTAAGGTGCTAAACAGCACTGAAGTGTAATTAAAACAAGAATGATGGGTCATTTTAAGTGATGGGTAAACAATCTTAGCATAAACTGGGTTGCAGCCCAAGCATTAAGGACCATTAACGATGGGGGAGCCTCACCTGTCCAGGGCTGGGGGCAGCATGCTGGGGTGGGGGCTGGTTGCCTGTTGGGGTACTGGAAGGCTGAGGATGATGAACTGCACCCGAGTGATGAGAGAACGACTGTGGAGCTACACAGAAAGCAAAAACGGCAGCAGAGTTAAGTTAGATCTGTCGAGGCAGGACGTTGGACTGACCACTTCTTGTAGAAGTTTTAATTTACCATAGATGCCCTGCTGTGGTCCTTGAGATCCATCACCCTGTGAAGGGAACTGAGGAGCTCCAGGTGGACCGAGAGCTTGTGGATGAGGACCACCACCTTGACTTATCATCCTCGCTCCACTCTGAAGCATGGAGTACATTGGCTGTGGTGGAAGACAGAAAAAAAATCTTAAATAAAAGTACTTTTATTATCCATTTATCCACAAGTCATTTCCCAATAAGCATTCAGCACAAATTAAACTGCTTTGTTTGTTAACTATTTGAAACTGGAGTAACAAGTGTACGAGGCTTGGGCCCAGTGCGTTCTACCTGTCCAGGGTAGGGTGCCATGGCCTGGAGGACCTGCTGATGGCCGTACTGCTGGGGGTTGTACTGAAGATAGGACTGAGGGTAGGGGGACGCCACCAGAGGAGCTCCAGCAGCTGATGCAGCAGCTTGAAGCATTGGTGGTGCTGAAGTACCATGATCAGAGCGTGGAGCCACTACTGATCCTGGTGAAAGGAGGAAAAAAGATGAGAACAACAAAAACTTTGGAGGCAAAGCTCTGATAATTTTACTTCCTTATACAGAGAAAAGACAAAAGTTGAAAGAAGCACAAAGTGTGGATTTTATTCAAGAGAGGCAGAGCGAACAGTTTATAAACGTGATGGACTTAATGCAGCAAGCCTGACCAAATATTATTTACCTTTGGTCCTGGGGTATTTTCCTTGGTTAACTGTGGACATTGTGTACTGGTACATTTGTGGGGGCTGAAAAAAGTGTCAATAAAATGTTCCAGTTATTTCACTGAGATTTTAGTAAGAAAAAGTGACCAAAGTTCAGTTTTTGCTCACATACCTGCACAGGGTGGATCTGTGAAACATAGGAGAGGTAGGGAGTATTATAGAGCTGGCTGCCTGGGTGCTGCAGGACCACCGGGCTTGGAGGTGTTGGACGGGGTGGGGTGGGTGCTGTGTTGGGCTTCGTCTATAGGACAGCGAAACATCAGGTTTTATTTTATTTAAAGCATTTCGTCCACATTTCATGGCTAGACACTTAAATTATGTTTGAATCATCAGAAAACACAATTTCTT